CTATCTATCTATCTGGTGGGGTTATACATAATCCTACATATCTCAAAGTCTTGGCACATTGAAACCTGATGAGGAGCCCGCAGCACAGTGTGGTTGCTGGAGAAACAATCGGGGTGTCCAGTCGGACTGAACCCGAAGTGCCGTGTCCAGATCTGGGCCGTAGGGCTAAGAAAGAGAAGGAATTGGGCTTCGGGGGCTCTCTGAGCTGGGCTGTTTCCTTGCAGACATTTCATGACCCAACTAGGGAACATCATCAGTGCTAGAGGAGGAATTTCCTGATAGGGAGAACAATTAATCAGTGGAGCAGCCTCCCCCCTGGAGTTGTGGGTGCTCCGTCACTGGAGGTTTTCAAGAAGGACTTGAACAACCATCTGCTTGGGATAGCTCTTGCCTTGGGGGCGGGGGGGGAGAGGGTTGGACTAGAAGACCTCCAAGGTCTCTTCCAGCCCCAGGGTTGTGTGGAACAGGAGGCCCTGGATTGTATGTGGAGACCCATGAAAAGTGGTTGGCAGAGGAGTTGCTGGGTAGGTTCAGCCTGGGGAAAGGAGGCAAAGAGGAGACCAAATACTCCGTTCACCAAAGGACAAAGCTCCCGAGGGCAGGGATAGAACCGCTAAGGGGGCAGCAGGCGGAGAAGGGGGAGACTTTAAGGGGCCCCGAGGGGCAGCGATTGCAGTCCTAGAGCAGTGTTTCTCAACCTTGGCGACTTTCAGTCCTGTGGACTTCAACTCCCAGAATCCCCCAGCCAGCATAGCTGGCTGGGGGAATTCTGGGAGTTGAAGTCCAAAGGACTGAAAGTCGCCAAGGTTGAGAAACACTGCTCTAGAGTGATTAATCTGTGAAGGAGAAAATGCCAAGTTTCCTTCCCCCCCCCCCCTCACCTCCCCATACTAGAGAAGCGTGGAAATGCTACTAAAGCCGGCTCTTCCGTGGCTCTCCCTGCAGAGTCCTGGGGGCCTGGAGGGTCTCCTTGGAGGGAAGCTGCTGGGTAGGTGCTTGAGGGAATCGCAGCCGCCCCTTCCAGCCGGACTGCTGGCGCTTCCTCCTCCTCCTCTTGGCCAAAGCTCGGAGAGAGAGCCTTTCTCGCTAGCCAGACAGGAGACCCTTAAACCTTTTGCGGTTTCTGGCATTTTAATGGCTTCTTTCATTGCGGACATGAGAGCTGAACCTTGCAAAAAGAATTGCGTGTAGCCGATGGAGCTCCCTCTTCCATGCCAGCCTCTTTCCAGGCCCCCTTCTGGAGCTGAGTCCCTGCGCGCGTGTGCGGAGAGGATTTGCCTCCTCCTCCTCCTCCTCCTCCTTCCTGGCAGGTGTGAGACTTCGGTGCTTAAAATTAGGCTCTTAATTGCTTGTAATGAAACTGTGTGGGACCATCTGAAGGATTCGGCAGGTTTTTCTGTGAAGCTAATTTAGTCCATGCGACATTTGCTACTAACGCACAGCAGGGGATTGGGGAATTCGGGGGGGAACTGGCAGGCTGCCAGGGGGTGGGGTGGGGATGGGGGGGGTGTACCCTCCCCCCAAGAATTGGTCCAAGTGGCTGGCAGAGGATTGAAAGGGCCGCTTCCCTCTACGACGGCCTTCGGGCGGCTTTGGTTTTTGGGAGGTTGTTATTGCAGATGGTACGTCCTCGACTTACAACCGTAACGGAGCCTGGCCGTTGTAAAGTGGGTCAGCCCATGATGGACCCTTTGGGGGCGGTCGCAAACCCTTGTCCGCCGTGGGGCGTTCTGGCAGGGCCCAGGTGCAAATGCCGCTTTGGGGGAGGGTGGGGGGGCTGCAGACAGCTGCCCGTCTCTTCCTGAAATGCCATCACAGGATGGGGGGAGGGGGGAGCAGTCAGACGGTCAGAACCAGGCGCTATGAACCTTGGGGGGGGGGCGTCTCTTGTAACATCAAATGATTACTAAGCAACTGGTTGTAAGTAGAGGTGTGTGTGTTGTGTTGTGTTGTGTGTGCCCTGCGTGTGTCCACTTTTGAGAGCAGGCAGCGGAATCTCGTTAATGGGTGCCGGGGTGCCCACAGGGGAAAAAAGGGACAATAAAGGTCATCTATCAGCAGCCGGAGCGAAGGAAGAAGGCAGTGGAGTGAAGGGTTAGGGCAGGGCAGGGGGCATTCCCCTTCGCCTCTGCTTGGGCCTGGTCCTAGGTTGGGGGGGGGGCTCACCTCCTGGCCATGGGAGCCCCCCGCCTGCATCCAGGCCCTCCTTGCTCAGAGCTTTGCACTCCTGCGTCTTCCCTCAGGACAAGCTTCTCTCTCAGCCCCCCCAAAAGGGGGCCCAGAGGCTTTCAGGAAGCCTGGGCCATTTTGTGCTGCTCGGGGGGGGGGCAGGAGGGGGGCATTGGTCCTGTGGGGCCAGCTGGGCCTGCCAAGGTTGTCATAGTAACCAGGAGAGGACAAGAAGGCCCATTGATGCATTTTCTGGATCTCCATTCAGAGGAGCGGAGGGAAGCCCAGAGAAGGCCGGGAGCTGGACCATTTGGGTGTCCGAAAACATGTTAATAAGGAGGAGGAGAGTCTCCCCGGAATGCTAAGCAGAGCTTGGCTGTGTTTTCACAGGAAAATGGGTCAGTTTCTGGGCTGCTTGGTTACCGTTCCCCGGCCTGGCTCTGGAGGCTCAAGCCAGCCTTGGCTCTCCTTCTCCAGGCCTCGGATGACCCCTCCCTCCCGCCTCTGGGGCTGCCCCCTTGGGAGCTGCCTCTGGGTCCCTAGTGGCAATCAGGGTCCCTGACCCTTTGGGGGAAAGTCCAGCTGACGAGATGGACCTGGTCATTTGTCCAGTGTCTGCC